CTGTCCTGGGTTCCGTGGTTGCCACAGGCTAGTTTCCAACACAGGAGATCTGGATTTAGAGATGTCACAAAGTGCTGGAGGCAAGATGGGTACAGGGTGGAGGATGAGAAGACTGTATTCTAGAAGGGGCAGTCTCTGCTGCACTCCTCTATCTCACCCTTGGGGAGGCTCTAGGCCTCAATTTCTCTTTATACAAAGCAGAGGTAGGGCCAGCCTATTAGCTCAGTGGATCAAAGCACCTACAAGCAGGCACAGAGGCCAGGGGTTCAATCCCTGGGACTGCCATGCCAGCCCTGCCCCCAGGGTGTGCTGAGATAGCAATTGAGACTGGGCATGGTGGCCTTTTGGGAGGCTGTAAACAGGCAGATCACGACAGGTCTGATCTAGTAGTGAAACTCTGAATACCCTGTAGACCCTTCCCTAAAATACAAAAAAACAAAAACAAAACAAAGTAGAGGTGATCTCTGTTGGAACCCTCTACAGCCAAACTGTCCAGGCCAGACAGAGCCTACTCACTTCCCCCATCACTCCAAATAAACCTGTTGCCAAAGTCACAAGCCCCTTCCTGGGTCCCCAGGGAGGCTACTCCCAGCTGTAGTGCACCCTTCTTCTGCCCCATTAGACTCTGGAGTTCTACCAGAAAACTCCTGTCAGTCTCCCTGACAACCCCAGTGTCCCAGTGTCTCCTTTTTTTTCACAGTGCCAGCATTCCCTCCGCCTACAGCCCAGGACCTCACCCCAAAGAGCACAGGATCCCTCCTTGCAGCGAGTAGGTACAGGGTCGTGCTTAGGTCAGCACCCTCATAAACCCTTCCTTTGGGGAGCTAGGCTGTCTTTGACCTCTGGGGTCTCTACACTGTATGGGCTAAGCCTTTTTCTCTCCTTCCCATCCCACCCAACTCTACCTCACTCATGTTTCCCCAAGCCTAGAGGTGCCTCACCCAGATTTTCAACAAACAAACTCAAGAAAGGTTTAATAAGCAGGCAAGAGCTCATTAGAAATTAAGGAGGAGGCAGCCCTGGGGCCAGATGAGCGGGATGGGACTGGCAGGAGTGTCACTCTAAGGTGCAGGCAGAAATATTCACCAACCATGCACAGAGATGTGCTCCAAATACTCTAAGGGATGGGCTCAGAGGTATATGCAGAGATGTCCAGGGGACACAGGATGCCCACTGAGAGGTATACAGCAGATCAGTGGCAGAGTAGGGGCAGAGCCAGAGATGTGGTTGGTCCAAGGCCGAGATGCAGAGACATAACCAGGGGTAGAAGAAGACAGGCACAGTCAGAAGCACTAAAATGCATGCTTGCACTTACGCACACAGCCATGCTTGCATAGGCACGTATACAAAAGAACAGGAAAAACGCTCAAGTTTCAGGAAGGCTGATGTCAATCAGAGTAAGTCAAAACTTGGAAGAAAAAAAAAAAAAAAGCCACACACACACGAGTACCTGCAAAGTGGGCTGTGGAAAGAGATTGGCAGAAAGGACAGAGGTGGGGCCCTAGGTGAGCCAGAGTTCATGGCCACCCTCCTGTGGGGTGAGGTTGATATCTACCTTGGAAAATGGGTTGCATGTGATGATGATTATTTTTAGCTATATTTGCTGGAGGAGGTGAGGTTTTTATTTTCTTCCTTTTTTTGGAGTGGGGGACATTACTGGAGATTGAACCCTGGCATGTGCGTGCTAGATAAGCACTCCACCAATGAGTTACATCTCTAGCTCATTTTATTTTATTCTATACTATCCTTTTCATTTTATTGATAGGGTCAAATTAAGTTGCTCAGGCTGGCATTAACTTGTGATTCTCCTGCCTCAGCTTCCTGAGTAGCTGCACACTTACACTATAGGCTTATACCACTGTGCCCCTCTGTTGAACTAACAACCTAGAGAGGTGGGGAGGCAGGAAGCTGGAGGGGTCACCAGCAATTGTGGGCTCTTGTCCTTGTTCATGCCAATTGCTCCTGGTTCTGGCCAGGCTTACCCTTTCTCATCTTGTCTGACCCTCCACTCCACATATTCCTTGGCTGTGTGCTGTCTGACCCTCCATCCCACATACTCGTTGGCTGTGTGCACCTAGGTAGAGGAACAGCAAGACATCACCCCCCTCTTCCTCCGTCCCCTCTTAGAAAACTTCCAGAAAAATTATGAAAGAAATCTGAAGCAGAAGAGAATGTTGAATTCAATGACCTTTAAAAATAGCTTTCAGGGCTGGCCAGATAGCTCAGCGGATTAAAGCACCTGCTTAGGCAGATGCAAGGGCCAGGGATTACATCCCCAGCATGCTGTGCTGGCCCCACCCACAGGGTTTGCCGAGATGGTGACTGAGGCTGGGTGTGGTGGCGCATACTTGTAATTCCAGCACTTGGGAGGCTGAAAACAGGAGGATCACTATGAGCCTGGTCTATGTGGTGAGACCCTTGTAGACCCTGTACTAAGTACATTAAAAAAATAGATAAATAAAAAACAGCTTTCAGTCAAGTGTGGTGGCACACACCTGTAATCCCAGCACTTGAAAGGTTGAGGTAGGAGGATCATCACAAGACTGAGGCCAGCCTGGGCTAAATAGTGAGTTGGAGGCCAGCCTGAACTACATAAGGCAATCTTGTCTCAAAGAAATAAACCAAAAACAACAAAAAAAAATAACTTCCAGCATCCCTCCTCCCATTTTCCCACCCTGGGCCTACCCTACTCTAACCCCTGTGGATGAAATGATATTATTTACCATCTGCTGGTCACTGTATTAAATTCTTTTTATTAATTATCTTCCATTATTTCTTCCTTTTCTCCTTAACCCCAAAGTCACATGAGAAAACTGATATTCAGGAAAAGAACATATTTCAATGTTATATGATAAGAGAAAGAGCAGGATGGGCCTCTAGCCCTAATCTAGCCCTAACCCTCAGCCATGGGCTGACTAGGCAGGATCAGCAGCTAGTTTTAATGGAGGGGCCAGGCCTAGTGGTATATGTTTGTAATTCCATTCAAGGCTGAGGCAGGAGAATCATGGTAAGTTTAAGGCCAGGTCTGGCTACTTAGTGAGTACCAGCCTGAGTGATGTAACCAGACACCCTCTGAAAACAAGATAGAATGAAATAAAATGGGTAGTGTGAAGTGTGAAGGCCATGGGTTCAATCCCCAGGGGGGAGAGAGAGAG